TTATTTACAGAGCTAAAATGTACACTGGAGCTGATAAACCTCTGAGCTGATTCAACAGAAAGCAGGATCAGGCACAGCATCTCAGGTCATCCCTTCTGATAAACTGTTCTCTTAGGCTGCTCAAACAGCCACTCATACAACTTTGTACCCCAGCATACAATACTTCCCATGTGGTTCCTGGGCACGGTGCGGGTGGTTGCATGGTCTGGAAGCCATCTGAATGCCGTGGAGGCTGGATAAAATCTGGGAGCAGACCACGTCAAGCCCCATGGCTACAGCGCTGGAGAGCCACTATGGGGGGCTTTAACGTCTGAGCAGAGATGTGGCCTTGCAGCAAGACATGAGCTGTGGACACCCTGAAAGCACAGATCTGTTACTCAGAAATCCTGGTGATGGGTTGCCATGGGCTGTGCTAACACCGTGGCTTGGCAATGAAAGCAGTGGGGACACCACAGTGCTACTCCATGCCTAGGGCTGGGGTGTTGGGGCTTGGGTCCAGTAGAGACTGGTCCTCCTCCCCTTCCCATCTCCAGCCCCTTTCGTGGACCATCTCATGGCAGTGGGGACTTCAACCCTCCAGAAGAAACCCTTGTGTAACCCAACAGTGCAGTTTGCCCAGCACAGTCGTTTCCACTCCAATCCATACCTTGGAGTGCAAAATCCCCAAATCTTCATCTTTCTGGCCTAAACTTTTCCAGGTTAGATAAAGTTCTTGGGAAATCCATTTTGGTCTCATAAAGATCTTTGTGGCTTTTTTGTCAGAACAGCAGCAGCCAACTACGCACACACACACATATATATGCACATATAAGGTTAGTGACACTTTTTTAGGGTTGAAGTCTGCAGAAACTGAGTAGTCTTGTAGCTCTTCTGTTTACATAACAAATTCAGAATGAGGGAACCACATGGTAGGATCCAAGTAATTGTGTTTACTAAATATGCACAGCATGCAAGGCCAGGCTTAGTTATATATACACACTGCTGCTCCAATGGGATTCTGGCAGCCTCCGAAGCATAAAAGGCATTGAGTCACTTGAATTGTACCCTCACCATCAAGCAGGAGTCTCAAACGTGGAAAATGCACAGCAAACAAAGGCCAAGCTGAACATACATGTATGCCTAATTCAGGGGGCTCAGGAGTAGGGAACGGCTAAGTAGAAGTACACAATAAATGGGCTTTTCCATTGCTCCCTTCCTACCTTCAAGGGTAAAAGTGCTGCAGATCCAATAGACCTTTGGAGAATTGCTCAGCTCTTTATTTTTTCCACGATACATAGCAAAAAGGGTATTTCTGTTTATGTTCTCACAAAGTGACTGGCTAAATAATTCCAGATGATGGAATTTTCTTCTGTCCTTAAAGCAAAACAGAATCTTAAACTTCACCACTCTCTAAATGATATTAAGACGATGATAAGAAATCTTTGTTTCAGCATTCAGAAAGCAGTTAGTAACAACGTACAGTTGGAAAAATAACCATAAATCTGCCTCCATGTCCACGTGCAATACAGTCTTGGATTGTATGTTCACATGGTTTTTCTTTGGGATGTCTTCCATTTTTCCCTGCAGTTTTTAGCTAACAGCTGTAGCAGTTTTAGCTAACAGCTGTAACAGCTTTGAGCATGTTATGTCTCTGTGAATTCCTGAAAACTAGTTGCATAAAAAGGACACTATAAGCCTATTACTAGCAACATATAATGCCCATATTAGTGAATTCAGAAAAAATGAAAGTAGTTATTTTCCTCCACTGTTAGGCCAAATATTTTTATAGTCAATTTTCATCCTGAGAATATGAATTCACCTTCGCATCTTTTTCTTTACAGGATCCTACAAAGAGGAAGCATTTTAGCTTCCTATTTGTTAGCTTGACAGATGAGCTCTTTACCACAGTATTTTCACATGAAAAGAAACTGAGGAAAAATAGTTTAAATAAAAGAAAAAAAATCGATGTGAAATTGTTGATTTTGATTAAAAAGAGTATTTTACGAATGAAATAAATTCCCATCATAACTATAACTATAATGATTAATGATTACAGGTAGGCTTGCTTCTGGCTTTGGACAGAAGGATAGACTGGAAGCCACATATGTCGCTCCTGGTATCGTGTACTATCTGGGATTTTGTAATTTCAGATAGCATTTCAAAAGGAATACAACATTAAGAACAAAAAAGTTAATTTAAAGTGAAATGCCACTGCAAAATATCAGCTGGAAGTGGAAAATGTCATGTCAACGTACTTCATCATGGTGATGCACCTGAGTAAAAGTATTTAGACTTTTCTTACACAATCAAGAATCTGCACACTAAATTCTTTATATTTAAATGCCCCTGTGTAACTCTTTTTTCATATACCTCTATTATATATGGCATATGTACTTGAAAAATATATGTGTGTATTTCATACAGGTATGTCAGGAGATACTGGCATGTGCAAATAGCCTAGTGTTGTCTGCAGTTCTGCTTCCAATACTCACACACTCATTTTGCCATTATGTCTATCAACAACTGTACACAGTTTCTTCAAAAAAGATGGCTCACATTTACATCTGTGTTCTCTCTTTTTACTACCAAATATGTGGTAACAGTACTTTTTTCTTCTTTCAAAGTTTTGTTACCAAAGCCCACTACGTTACTTTGCCAGAGAGTTATCAGGACAATTTTAAAAGATTGTGTAAATGTTAATACTTTTTTGTACTGTGCTGTGCTTATCCTCAAGAAGGTACAGATGTCTTCCTTTTCTCACATTTTTCCCTGCTTCTTTCCAGCTTTCTCAGAGTGTTTTCATGAGGCAGACTCTATGTCATCCAATTATTTCCTAAAGAAAACTAGAGAGATAAGCCTTTGAAAACTGAGCCAGGACTTCGGATTTCTCTCACTGTATTAAATCATACTGATCAAAAACATAAAAAGATATAGAAGCACAAAATTAACAGTAGGACAGAGAGAATGGGAAATGGGGATCCCTGGATATAATATTACATGAGATGAGACCGTCCAATATCAAGTAAATTTATTTGGACAGAGAAGGAATTACTGGGTGTGTAATACTGATTAACTACGTTGGAAAGAGACCTTGGCAAGCAGCGTGTTTTGGTCAGCCTCTTTATAAAGAAGAATAGGAATGTAGGTAAAAGGTTAAATATATTAAAAAAAAATAATAGTGCATCACTCCTCCCATCAGCTAATCCCGGGGCATCATCTGCATGAACCAGAGTAATACAGTTCACTTCTGGGAAGGAGTCTGTCACAGCTCCCATGACCAAGAGATTTCACTCTTACCCTGCTAAAATGTTTGGAGGGGTATTTATTGAGAAGAATGAGACTGTGCATAAATGTATCCAAGATCCTAAGTATTTAGTGTTCTTAAGCTCCTTATACTGCAAATATGTAGTATTGTTTTAATGCCATATCCCCTGAAAAACATTTGCTTGAGGAAAATACAGCAGGTCATAGGTCAGACTCTGGGAAAAAAAAAGTTATCTATTAAATCCACAGTCACATCATTTTTCAATTCCTACTTAGGCACATGGACAATACATTGAAACCCCAAAAAGGCTTTTAAAAATGTCTAATACACATAGCATCCCTAATTATATTTCTTCCCAGCATGAGACTTTGTATGTCTGACAAGTCCCGACTCCCACTTGGAAGAGTCTCTCACTGCTATGTGCTCCTCTCACAAAAGTGTTTGAGCAAGCTATAAAGCAATACACACATCGTCAAGCACTCTGGTGGGGAGGCCTCGTAATTTCAGGCTGCTTGGCAGATGAGTATCAGTCAGTTTAGAGTATCACCAGCAAACTAGAAAACACTTCTGAAAAAAGCTTGTATAAGGCAATAAAGGCACACATCAGCTCTTTAAATATGCAAGAGGCTCTGACGGAGCATTTCTGTATGACCATGGAACAGTCTTATCGTAAGTTTCTTCAGAAAGCCCTCATGCTTTTAGCTCTATTTATGACTATGCCTTGCTTCATCAGGTTATATTTAGATGGATAATGCACAGCTCTTTCAAGCTATAGCTGTCTGTAATAAAAGCAAAATTATTTGTGCAAAGGGTCAAGGGGCTGTGATGAAGCAGCTCAGGGAGATGCTCTCCTTCCCTGCCAGCACAGAGTTACAGGCAGCATTTTGGGGTCTGTCCTATGCCAGTTTCCTGGGGAATCTCTTGGTCTCCAACATGCACCAGAAATCCAGGTGGATATCCACATGACTCCACTTGCATATAGTGGAGAGCTGGGATGTACTTGGTTATTGTGAAATACAATGTATTTTTCAGATGCTGCTCTTTAAGGAACAGGGAAGAGACTGACACTGAGCAAGCACAGCCTGATGGGCAAGCAAGTAAAACATGGCTACCTGGGTGCCTCTGAGTTTGGTACTGAGGAGGACAGGGCAGTCAGAGATCTAGGTAGTCCTTCATGCAGTGCAGGTCGGTGCTCAGCAAGCTTTCTGGGAACCATTTTGCTCATGCCCGGGCTTGGGCCCTCAGCATCCCTCCATCCTGGGGGTGTTCCTTGTCCCTGCAGCACAGCAGCTGCAGGACACACAGCCCCTAGAGCTAGAGGTCAACCTACCTGCAGCATTTCCATGTGCTACCTAGGTGAGAAATTCCCATCAGTAATGCAGGAGGCAGCCTAGCTTTGTCCCCCTTTGACATTTTGAGTGGATACACAGTCCTTTCAATTTGCAGAAATCTCTGGTGTGTTACTAACCACCAGCTTTGACTGGGGACATCATCAAGTGGAAAGGATTGCCATTGTACTGCTTGTGATGTTAAAAGTTAAAAGGTTCTCCCTAGTAAAATGATAAAGCAATGCTTAAAGTAACAAGGCCTTGATATCCCCTTCCTAATGCCATATACTCTGCCTGCTGTGAGAATGATGCACACTCAGAGTGTATATTTTGGCTAGCAAAAATTCTGTGTGTCATATTATTTATGTCTGGTTTTCTTTAGAGCCCTTTTTGGTCAGGACTGTGATTTATGTTGCTTTTATTCCAGCTACGCTATAGATTCTTTGACGGATTACAGTCTCAGCAACCTCCAGTTCGAGAAGAATGATGGCTAAGAGACTTAAACTAGACTTTTCACCATCCTGGAAAGGAACTGGCTGCCAGTACTTGGAGTTTTTTTAATACTCTACCTCCCTCTGCTGTTATCAGTGAGAAGTTCCTTGACAATGGGAAATCATGTACTTGCGGCTTCAATTTCCATGCTCTCGCTGCTGGCAATGATGGGAGACACGGACAGTAAAACAGACAGTTCCTTCATGATCGATTCCGACCCCAGCCGCTGTATGAGGCATCACTACGTCGATTCCATTAGCCACCCCCTGTACAAGTGTAGCTCAAAGGTAAGGACTTCGCTCATCCCTTTTCAGC